TTACTTACTATTTCTTCTAAGCTGACTAATTAAAAGTAGCCTTTTAGCAAGTGTCAATGGTAAAGGTTTTACAAGCATGTTTGCAGTAGAATAATGACTGAGAAAAGCAAGGCTGAGCTGAAGTATCTCTTAGTTTAGGTACAATGGTCTACACTACACATTTTTCCAAATGTGATGAAGGACCCAGGAACCTAAATAGCAACTTTCAGCAACAGCATCTGTTTCCCATCCCCATGAGGGTGGGAGCCATCTAGCCTCCTGCAAGAAGCTATGGTGTTTAGTGTTCAAACATTACAGCATAGCTTTTGACACGTCCAAAGTGTCAGAAACAGAGGGTCAAGAAAAAGCAAAGGTCATGCCACCATCAGCCAAGTGAGCCACAAACAGAAGCTGGATGTTTGGTGTAATTGTGTAGCATTTTCCACTTTACTGAACCATTGGATCAGAAGGGAAGGGACCTCAACATACCTCTGGGAAAATAGCACCTGAAGGACCACCAAAGTTCATTGAAAACTGACCAACCAAAAGAAGCAGAAACTTAGTAAGCCTGCAGAACCTATTTAACTCTCATAGAACCAACAGTTCACCATACAAGGAAGCTAAAGAATGCGAGACCCATCCTTGGGCAGGATACAGCATCTGAAATGTGCCTGTGCATTTCTTCACAATCCTTGGATCTCTCCTACGGTTCTGCATCAGGATTGCACTGACCAAAAGCCCAAAGGTATTCTGAGATCTGGTCCCAGCAAACTTGTGAGAGGAGAATAAGTTGGGAGGAAATAAATAGCAACTTGCTGATTCAAGCCATTTTTGCAATAGGAATATGCAATCTCTCAGGTCAGGCCACACCAAAATTAACTTCAATATAGGGGGTTTCAAAATAATAATAATAATAATAATAATAATAATAATAATAATAATAATAATAATAATAATATTCTGTGCATGGCGGGTTATGGAAGTTCTTACAGATATTCTAGTCTTTTCTCTTACTGTGAGGGCATGCACACAAAATGACTAGTTGTTCCCTTATATGTATCATATTCTGGGGTACAACAGGTGATGTGAAACCCATATGAGGTAAAGTCTTTCAGCTATTTTCAGCAGTGAGTCCTGTAGGGAACTCTGGTGGAGGACTGAGAAGAGCACAAAATGCACACATACACATGAATATAATCATGTATGTATGTATGTATGTATGTATGTATGTGTGGATATCTATCTACCCATCCATCTCTCCATCCCTTGGCAGAAAGATGAAATGGAATAACAAGGAAAAACTAAATATATCAGTTAGGAATGCTGCAGACACATTCTTTTGAAAATGCCATATGTTTCCAGCTCTTGTGAAGGTGCTCCTACCATCTACCACATTCTAATTAACATGTATGAGAGACACCCAAATTGGGCCACTTCCGCTCCTCCCCATTTGTGAGGCCTAAGAGGGGCAGCCATTGCATTCCAATACAACAAGTGGGAAAGGGAGGAATCCGTGACACTCAGCAACCACTGGAAGTAGCATCCCATTGGCTGGATGGTCCCAGGATTTAGCTTTGCCTGTCAGTCAGGCTTTTGCCTTATTGAAAGATCAAACTCCATCCTGCCAGTTCATTACCTTAATCCTATTTTCTACATAGCTTTATTATCTGTGGAGGCTTCCTTAGGAAAGACAGAAAAGGTGACAGAGCCACTCCCCATTTGCTCCTGAGAGTTACTTCTATTTGAAGAAACCTAGGACAAGTTCATGGACAAGGAGGGGGTGGGTGGGTGTGCATGGAATGGGATACAAGTTGAATATCATTCTTCCTTTCATCAAAATACAGGATTCACATTACACGCATTCCTCAGAGTCCAAGACTGCCCGCTAATGAATTATGTTACCATTTTATTAAATGCCATTATAAGACTCGTAATACAGATAATTTGTCATAAAGCTTTATATGGGTGCATACACACACACACAACATTCAAGATTTGGTATTTTGTGTTGAAAGAGAGAAGAAGAATACAAAAATTGTTCTCCTTATCACATAGGTTATGATACAAATTAAAAATTTCATTAAGAACATTTTGTCCAAAGTTTGAGAAAAAAATTGTTACTATTGAGACTCAAATTACATTCTAATCCACACATCCCAATTTATCTAACACTATCAGATAATAAGTAAATCAGAGAGAATGGGAACCCCCCTCCCAAGTTCCCAAATTATTCATTTGTTCAAAGCATCCAATACCAACAAAATATTTTTTAAGTATAAAACAGATATCAAATGTGCATGTGAAAAATAATTTGGTGCATTTAGATTCAATAATTCAACTTAAGGCAGTGTTTATTAAACTGTGCTCCTCCAGGTGTTTTGGACTTCCGCTCCCAGAAATCCCAGCCAGCTTACCAGCTGTTAGGAATTGTGGAAGTGGAAGTCCAAAACATCTGGGGGAGCACAGTTTGAGAAACTCTGACCAGAGAAAATTTGGATCAACTGGCCAATAAAATAACACCAAAACCTGTGCAACTTGGTTTGAATGGAAAACAGCCTACTGGGTAAGAAGAACAGATAGGAGGACCCACTAGTCCAGCAACTAGCTAAGGATAAAGGAGAAAATATTATAGCTTTGTTGTAGTATACATGCCTTCTTAGAAAAGGTCAAATCAAGAATGGTGGTAGGACATTTATTAACTGGACATGTTTAAGGAATTTCACACTTACCTGTTAGTCAAATTTGGAGAGAACTTCAGACATATTAGAACTACATATATTTGATTCTGGGCACAAGAAAAGGGCCCAATAAAATATTCCATACATTTTATATCAGAGGAATAAAAACAAATCCGTTATGTGCTACAGATGGAAGGATTTCATAGAACAGAAATATGAACCTCACTAGAAAGTATCTAGAAAGTAACACAAGAATGGCCATCAGACTGGAAAAAATCAACTTATATCCCCATACCAAAAAAGGGAAATGCGAAAGACTGCTCAAACTTCCGTACAGTGGCCCTTATTTCTCATGCCAGTAAGGTAATGCTCAAGATCCTGCAAGGAAAACTCCAGCAATACATGGAGCGAGAGTTGCCAGATGTTCAAGCTGGGTTTAGAAAAGGCAGAGGAACGAGAGACCAGATTGCCAATATCCGCTGGATAATGGAGAAAGGCAGGGAGTTTCAGAAAAACATCTATTTCCGTTTTATTGACTATTCTAAAGCCTTTGACTGTGTGGATCATAATAAATTGCGGCAAGTTCTTGGTGGGATGGGCATACCAAATCACCTTGTCTCTCTCCTGAGGAATCTGTATAATGACCAAGTAGCAACAGTAAGAACTGACCATGGAACAACAAACTGGTTCAAGATTGGGAAAGGCGTACAGCATATATTATTAGCATCTCTCACCCAACCTTTTTAACTTGTATGCAGAACACATCATGCGATGTGCGGGGCTTGATGAATGCAAGGCTGGGGTGAAAATTGCGGGAAGAAACATTAACAACCTCAGATATGCAGATGACACCACTCTGATGGCCAAAAGCGAGGAGGAGCTGAGGAGCCTTCTAATCAAGGTAAAAGAAGAAAGTGCAAAAGCTGGGTTGCAGCTAAACATTAAAAAGAAAAAAACAAGATTATGGCAACAAGAATGATTGACAATTGGGAAATAGAGGGAGAAAACATGGAGGCCGTGACAGACTTTGTATTTCTAGGTGCAAAGATTACTGCAGACGCAGACTGTAGCCAGGAAATCAGAAGACGCTTACTTCTTGGGAGGAGAGCAATGTCCAATCTCGATAAAATAGTAAAGAGTAGAGACATCAGACTGGCAACAAAGATCCGCCTAGTCAAAGCCATGGTATTCCCTGTAGTAACCTACGGATGTGAGAGCTGGACCTTAGGGAAGGCTGAGCGAAGGAAGATCGATGCTTTTGAGCTGTGGTGCTGGAGGAAAGTTCTGAGAGTGCCTTGGACTGCGAGAAGATCCAACCAGTCCATCCTCCAGGAAATAAAGCCCGACTGCTCACTGGAGGGAAGGAGACTAGAGACAAAGTTGAAGTCCTTTGGCCACATCATGAGGAGACAGGAAAGCCTAGAGAAGACAATTATGCTGGGGAAAGTGGAAGGCAAAAGGAAGAGGGGCCGACCAAGGGCAAGATGGATGGATGGCATCCTTGAAGTGACTGGACTGACCTTGAAGGAGCTGGGGGTGGTGACGGCCGACAGGGAGCTCTGGCGTGGACTGGTCCATGAGGTCACGAAGAGTCGGAGACGACTTAACGAATGAACAACAACAGAAAGTATCTCTTCTTATACATAGAATCTCTGGGCCAAAGCCTTATATACGAAGAATGTTCCGACTGTCCCTCAACTAGCATTATTTCTGATGCTCAGAGAATTCTGGACCCAGATAAAAATGGCAAGAATTGCTTAGGGTCCAATTAACTTTGATCTCTTGACTTTGGGGCTGCTTTGGCATGGTATGCCTCACTTCAGTTAATCAAGCTTGCCAGATGCTACTTCTCTTGGGCAGAGAGACTTGGATATGACACAATTTTTGTTCCTGGGTTATATATGTCATTTCCTAATTGGTACTATCATAATAACATGGGAAAAGTTTACTAAACTGCAAGACCTTTGTTTCTGTGGGACATCCTACAGCACATTTTGCTATAGTTTTTCAATCAATTTCTCATCAAGTCTCAACCAATTCAACATAGTTTGGGGCAGCCACAAAATCGAAGTTTCTGGAGTATAACAGTTACTTTCAAAGTAAGTACCACATAATTAAACAGGAAATAACACTTTCATACCAGGAACAGAAAATTCTTCAAATTTTGTTATATAATGCTATCTATGCTGGTAAGCTATCACATGGCATTGGACATGGAGTTTTCAATATTGTTCAAAATGGTACCGGTCAACATTAACTTCCAGCTCAAAGGATTTCTACAGGTATTTAATGAACAGGCAGATATTTCTGTTGGCCACTAACAAAGTTATTTTGGTCTCTTACCTCTCCAAATCCCAGATTCTCAAAGGTGAAGTATGTCCACAGCATGCTGTTCCTGTCACAAATGAACTGTTGAGAAAGAAAATAAAAACTAGACTTATTTCTTTTACAGTTAATAAGGTGGTGGATTGAACAGAGAACAGGTTGTCAATGCTTTTAAAAGATCTTGTGCACAGAACTTCCATGTCCTGACAGCACAATAGTTAAAACGAAAGGAAAATAACAGTTGTGAAAAAAGGTGGTGCTATAAACCAAGTCAAGGCACTGGAGCATAAAAGGACTAAACATGCAGGTGTAGGTTCTAAATCCCCTAAAGGCACAAGATCCCGTCTGATCTTGGAAGCCAGGTAGGGCCACTTGGATGGGAGACTGTCAAGAAATACCAGGAGCTAGTGGTTATGTTTCAGAGGAAGGAACTGGAAAAACCACCTCTGTGTATTCCTTGCCTAAGAAAACCCTGTGAAATTTAATGGGGCCACCATAAGTTGATAGGCATCATAAAAAGGCCATAAGAACAAACTATTTGCTTGCATGACCCACTTCAAGATTATGCACCTTGTATCCACACCCTTCACCCAAATATGTTTGTGGCATGGTTTATGCTGATCCTTATTACCTATATATGATTAATACAATGAGAAGGGGATGGGAAAGGGCCCTTCTACACTGCCATATAATCCAGAATATCAAGGCAGATAATCCACATTATCTGCTTTGAACTAGATTATTTGAGTCTACACTGCCAGATAATCCAGTTCAACGCAGATAATCTGGATTTCATACAACTGTGTAGAAGGGGCCATAGTCCACAGTGATCTTCGACACATTTTGTTTGACCTGTTTAAACTTAGGTTATTTGCACCAATGCATAACTGTACTCCCTAAAGGCTGCGTTATATTAAATAATTCTGCAGAAAAAGCACATATTTTAACAAAATGTTCACATGCCTTTTTCACTATGGATATACAGATCAAAAAGCTGATCAAAAAGTGTCTTCATAATGTACATATAGAAGACTATTGCTGTCCTTCTTGCATCCCCAGGCCAAAAAACAAGAGCAACAACAAACATTATCACGTATTATGATAATGTCAGTGACAGGCTTTGTATTTCTAGGTGCAAATATTACTGCAGAAATCAGAAGACATTTACTTCTTGGGAGGAGGGCAATGACCAATCTCGATAAAATAGTGAAGAGTAGAGACAGCACACTGGCAACAAAGATCCGCATAGTTAAAGCAATGGTATTCCCTGTAGTAACCTACGGATGTGAGAGCTGGACCATAAGGAAGGCTGAGCGAAGGAAGATAGATGCTTTTGGTGTTGGAGGAAAATTCTGAGAATCCCTTGGACCGCAAGAAGATCAAACTAGTCCATACTCCAAAAAATAAAGCCCAGCTACTCACTGGAGGGAAGGATATTAGAGGCAAAGATGAAGTATTTTAGCCACATAATGAGAAGACAGGAAAGCTTGAAGAAGATAATGATGCTGGGGAAAATGGAAGGAAAAAGGAAGAGGGGCCCACCAAGGGCAAGATGGATGGATGTATCCTTGAAGTGACTGGCTTGACCTTGAAGGAGCTGGGGGTGGAGACAGCTGACAGAGACTTCTGGCATGGGTTGGTCCATGAGGTCACAAAGAGACGGAAGCAACTGAATGAATAAATAACATCAAATACTTTTAACTTCAAATCAGAAATATTTGCAATATGAACAGGCTCTCACTGAAATAGGCCTCTATGTGATCACAGGGCCTTTAATATTAATCTAGATATACTACTAAAGGTTTATTCAAATAGATGTATTCTAAATACATTGGATTACAACTTTCACTGATTATGTTGGCAGAAGACAATGGGAATTATAGTTCAAATACATGATGCCCAGCCTAGATAGTCCCCAGATTAGAAAAGACCAAAGAAACATATTTCCTTTGTAAAATAAGACCACATCTGTAGAAGAGCTCAAAACATGACTCTTTAGCCTAACATATTATTTATGTTCAGTAGTGCCATTTTAAAAGCCAACACAGAGATTGCTTTGTGTGCATCAGCCAACAAGCTCTCTTGACCAAGCAAACTGGAGGCTCAAGACCCTAACCTGATGCCAAATACAAGGCTCTCCTTCCACACCTTATGGGCTATCAAGGACGAGAGGTCAGAACACCAACAAACTCTTAAGTAGAGAGCGGCACATCAATTGACTCCCAAGTCAGCAAGCAGTCTTGCTGTCAATAGAGCCCAAAACTACAAAGGTAGGTGCTGGGTTTTGTCTCCCTCCTCCCCCCCCCCTTTACGATAAGCCATTAATAAATGGTAAAGCCAATTACTGTGGTTAGAAACATAATAGCAGCTTGGAAATCACTGAAGTGGGCAATTGGGTTTTTAAGATTTCTCTCTCCTTTTTCTCCCCCTGCCCCTCTTTCTTGCTCACTCTACACAGACACACATCATTTCCTTCAGAAGAAGGTATGCAGTATCCCTCTAGAAGCTGTACAGGTCTAAATTAGCATCAAGGTATGTCAATAGGAGAGGAGAAGTGGGTGGAGACTACCACCACTAATCCCTGCCATTCTGCCTGTACAGCCTCCAAACCAGTCTGTGGTAGGGATTAGAAACTTCTCCGCAGTTGACTTCCAAATTGCTTCTTAGTTTAGCACCACTTCCCTCCAGCTACACAGATCCTGACCCACCAATTCACCCTGCCACCCTACTGCAGGAGAGGATTGGTCGTTCTCATAATTGGAATATTTCAGATGTTGAGGGCAAAAAGAGAAGTCCTTTTATGCCCTTTCAACTCTAACATGATGACTTTGCTGCTATTGTTCTGCTGCATAAAGGGGATACTTATAGTTTCAAATTTCTGAAACATCATTCCTGAGAAGGAAAATCTCCAACATTAAGCACTGTTTTGTAATGAAGGAGTGAAAAACTCCCCTGATGGAAGGATCTGAAAGGGCAAAACTCAAGAGGAAAGAGAAGTTACAAGTTTCTGTGGGACATAAGTTTATGTTTCTATGAGTAGCGAATCAAACCTTTCTGCAAATGAAATAGAGTTAAAAATATGCCCTTACCTAGACGGGTTTTGAAATTTTGACTGCTCCTCTTATACAAAGAGTGGCATTGCCAAAGCAAATAAATATTCCATTCTGTTCAGCTCTGCAAATACATCAAGTTGTCTTTTCTAGTAGAAATTACACTATTGGTTGAAATTACTTCTGTATGTAATTGCATATGTTCAAACTCTGCCTCTGCGACAAACTGACTAGATGATATCACATAGGCCATCCAGGATACTTACTAAAAGCAATACACCTTTAAAATAAAATGCAAATCGAGCATTTTATGTCAAGTTCTGAAGCACTTCAAAATCCAAAACTGACGTGGGTGGCTGAGATAGGGAACATCTTCACTTTTTGATGGTCCAATGTACACAAACTTTGTTTCAGGCACAACACTATTTGAATATTGTGCATAAGATTACCTTCAAGCTATGTGTATAAGGAAACATAAATTATTATTTTTAAATTTTGGCTGGGGTCCCAACTACAGGGTATCTAATTATGTGTATACCGTGTATACTCAAGACTAAGCCAACCTGAATATAGGCTGAGGCACCTAATTTTACCACAAAAAAACTGGAAAAACGTATTGATTCGAGTATAAGCCGAGGGTGGGAAATGCTGCAGCTACTGGTAAATTTCAAAATAAAAATAGATACCAATAAAGTTACATTAACTGAGGCATCAGTAGGTTAAATGTTTCTAAATATTTACATAAAACTGTAATTTAAGATAAGACTGTCCAACTCTGATTACATCATCATTCTAACCTTCTTCAATGTAAATGTGCTTATGTATCCTTCCAATAATCACCATAGTTTATACTTTTTGGGGGGAAATGCTGTGTGTATATGAATAAGGAAAAGTGGGAAAGACTAGGGCCAAAAGAGGAGGAGGAGGAGGAGGAGGAGGAGAGGAAGATGCGTCAGAGAGGAGAGGAAGGTGGACACTGCACTAGAAAGGAGGAGAGGAAGGTACGCACTACACCGAGAGAGGAGAAGAAAGAGAGCTGGGTTGCTGTGCGGAGAGCAACCCATTATAATATTATTTATTATAATTAATAATAAATAATAAATAAATAAATTAGAAAAACAAACAGACGATGAGAGGCAGCAGCGACGTTAGAGTAGCAGGTTTTCTTTTTCAGTTCAGAAACTCGAACCCCTTTTTAAATCAAAGGCAAATCTTCATTATTTCCCAGGTATTTGGACTTGAAATGTATTTTAGAAAGATACCTGAAATGTGAGTTTTTGTAACCTCTATTTATAGTACATTGAATTTTGAATTACTATTCAATCCTTCTGTGTACTTTCAACATCAATCCTCCAATCCTTCTTCAAAAATACAAAGTGAGGGTCCTGGCAGGAAGATGTGGGGCTGAAAGAAGCCCTTCTTTCAGCCCCATGTCTTTCTACTAGGACCTTCACTCAAGTATAAGCTGAAGGATTTTTTCCACCTAAAAAAGGGCTGAAAAACTAGGCTTATACTCAAGTATATACAATATATGCAAATACAAATATTCTAGAGTCCAAATAAATCCAAAATCAAAAGCTCTTCTGTTCTGAAGTATTTCGGATACCCAACCTGCATAAGCAATAAGCATTAAGTTAAAGAAAGAGCAATTGTAAAATGGACAAGAAAGAAATGAAAAGAAGAAAGCAGGCATTTTGAGCATCACCTATTTTTGGCCAGACACTTCCATCTGTCATAGGAGGACAACAATACTAATCTACCCTTAAGAATTGTGATATAGTATTGATGTTGAAAGTACAAAGGAGGATTGATGTTGAAAGTACACAGAAGGATTGAATAGGAATTCAAAATTCAATGTACTATAAATAGAGGTTACAAAAACTCACATTTCAGGTATCTTTCTAAAATACATTTCAAGTCCAAATACCTGGCAATATTTTGTGTGTGTGGGGGGGGGGGGGGTTAAGCTTGGTGATTCAGTACTCTGATTTTGAAAGGATTTGGAATTAACATGTGCTGGTACATTGCTAATTT